CGGCGCACCCAGCGCTGTTTGCTTGCCTTTATTCGTTTAATAAATTGTTAATTTTGACTGAAACCCTATCTGGGACTCGGTCATTTATCACACCTACAAACAGGATGCACTTTCGAATCAAGAAAATCAACATACAACACCAAAAAGAAAATCCCAATCAGGCAAGCTCCTTGCAATTAAGACTAGATTTCACTGCTTTCCCGTGAGGAGGTGGCTGGGGCCGATGCCGCCCTGGTGCCCAGCCAGCCCCCCCTCCCCCTGTGAGGAGGCGGCTGGGGGGGGTGGTGCAAGGTAAGAACTATATACATTAACCTCTCTGCCCTTCTTAGGCTTGTGGTTATAAAAGTGTATGTCATCATGCGGCCCCAGCACTGTTCCATATTAACACGAATTAGATGGACATATATAACAGTAGGGGACATAACAAGTTTTGGTGTACCAGTAAAAATCTGTGTGCTTGGTATTGTTGACTGTGATAGGCTTAGTTAAAGCTCAGTTCTGTCCTTCGCTATTTCTGCCAAGCTGCCACCGTGCCTCCTGTCTGTCTGCTACTGGATCTCTGCTTCCCCGTCCAAAGAGACTGGTTTTGTCACTGCTTTTTCTTGTGTTCCCTTTATTGCCTGTGGTACTGGCAAGGAGCCAGCTGAGGCTGCAGCCAAATGATTCAAACTGTAGAATTGCTTTCAGGTCTGTTTCAAGGTACTTCCTTAACCTTCTTACAATCACCTACATTACAGGCATCCTGGGAAAGTCGCTCCTTTTTAGAGGGCCATTAAACTTTTGAAAGTTTGCAGGTGGTGAAGATTCTGCCACATGTCTAATTAAATTCTTCTTTATGGGCAATTATCCCTTTTTTAACCTGCTCCTAGGTTGCATTATTTTTATTTTTAGTTCAGCATTCAGCATTAGCGTCTCTGAAAGTCAAGCAGTTACATAATTTTAAAACATTTTTATCTCAAACTTTTTGCAGTATTGTTAAAATAAATGGGTGCATTGCAGTGC